ATATATATATATATATATATATAAAGAAATAACTCATATCAAAGGTTTATATCCTTTTAATATTCTTTTCGTTATCACCGTATGTATCCCACAATGATTCTTCAATTATTGTACCTTCAATTAGTTCCAATAAATTTTGTGTTACACATTACAATCAATGAAAAATAAAGAATTTAGAAGATTTTCTGAGTATACATTTGTAAAAAAACGTTTGAAAAAGGCTGCAAAATAAAAGTAATATTTAACTACATTTTTATATTGTCAGATAATTTAGGTTACTAAACCCTAAACTCTAAACTATAAAAAAAAAAAAAAAAAAATCATGCATCACACTACCAAACTTAAGTCCACGTGAAGAGATAATTACTTCTCAATCTACAAACAAGCTAATCCGATAACTGAATATACGGTTCTTTTTGAAATGTCTACCGCATGAAAGAGGAAATCATAATAAAATTTCTGGACAATCGAAAATAATCTTCTAAAAAAAAAAAAAAAAAAAAAATCATGCATCACACTACCAAACTTAAGTCCACGTGAAGAGATAATTACTTCTCAATCTACAAACAAGCTAATCCGATAACTGAATATACGGTTCTTTTTGAAATGTCTACCGCATGAAAGAGGAAATCATAATAAAATTTCTGGACAATCGAAAATAATCTTCTACTATGCTTCCAAAATCCAACTAGAGAAGAATTACAAAGTCATTCTTACCCATTGCCAAGTAACAGATAGTCAATTGGTGTATCTATCTAATCTATTATTTTTTTTTCTATATTATATTTATAAGAAATATTAAATTTACTATGTTAACAGAACTTACCTATTAATTTTATCGAACATATAAAAAGGCACAAGTTATTTATTTTAAAAAATATATTGCAAAGTTTTAAATGGGATAATAAAAAAAATTATAATAATTGAAAAGATATTTATAATTATATTATTTATTTTCAACATGTTTAATAAATATATAATATTTTAATTCATATATATATACCATAATTATTATAATATATTAGATATATAAATAGATATTTGAATAATTTATTTGATATTTATATTATATATATATATTTCAAATAAAATTAAATATTAATAGATTGCACGGGCTACCCACTAGTTCTTCTTTACAAACTTCTTGATAGATGACGTGGAAAAATCTTAAACAAACATGTTATAAAAGCTTGTTAACCAATAAATATTACGTATAAAAATAAATAAATTATTTTTTTAAATGTTATGCAGGTTGTCAAGTCGAACATCAACTTTTTTCTATGAGACAGATTGATCCCATTTTGTGATCACCAATAAAAACAGGCGGAAAAAGTTTTTCTTTAAATTAATTACCTATATATTATTAGTGTAAATTTTTTATATTAATAATTAATTATATCTTTTAATTATATCATATTATTATTAAAAGTAAATATATTTATAATGACAAGACATAATTAAAAGATATAATTAAATACTAATGAAAAGAAAAACTTATACTATACATGATTAACTCTTTTACTTTAGCTTCGGATTATAACTTCGAATATTTAACCGTGACGTACAGATTCATTATAAGCAAAATGGTATTTTGTACAAATTATTATTCATAAATGTGGCATCATCATATTTAATCTTTGAAAACTGTAACACATTATGCAAGCTGATTTTAGTCAAACACCCTGATTCGTGTCAAAATCTTAGTGAAATTTTTCCATAATACTTTGCATTTCTCCTTATTATATAGCCTAGAGTCACCGTAATTCCCATGCAAAAGCACACCAAAATAGGTTACTCCATTCATTCTATTATCTTTAAAATAAATAAGAAAAAGGTATTAACACCTGATTTGTAATATAGATTGAAGTGTTCGCGGTGTAGTTTTATTGAAATTTTGCCAAAAACTCATCCAAACCAATTTAAAAAATAAGTGCTATTTATTTTAATTTAATTATAAAATTTGAATCAAACTAAATCAATCTTTTACTATTTAAGTTAATTAGATTTTTGTGATATTTGTTATTTAAAAATTAACTAAAAAATATAATATTATATTATTTGTTAAAGATCATGCATCAAAAATAAAACTAGATCACTTGATGTATTTAATAAAAAGTTTATCTTATTATTTTAATAAAAAAATTAAAAATAATTCTCCTTATCATATAAAATATCTTTTCTCATATATAGTTTTAGTCTTCCAATTTTTAAATCCAGAATATTAGTCTTTTAATTTTATAAAATTAACAATTTCAACCCCTTTATCAAATATTCATTTATTAATCATTAAAATTTTAATATTAATCATAATCTAACATTAAGTAAATGACACAAAATTTGATATTTAATATTTGGATTAAATTTTATTTTTAATTCACTTTTTATCTCATAAAAGGTTAAATAAGATGAAAATAAGATACAAATAGAAATTATAAGTGCAATTTTACTCAAATATTATTAAATATTAATTGTTATTTCATTTCTTCAATGTTACATTATGACTAATTTTACAATTTTAACGATTAATAGATGAATATTTGACAAGAGGACCAAAATTAAAGATTTTTAAAAATTAGAGGACTAAAATTAAATATTTAAAAATTAAGAGATTAAAATTAAAAATTAGATATTATAGAAGGACCATAAATATAATTTAAACTAAATTATTCATGATTTTTTTATTCAAAAATTTAGTTTAATAGTCTATAATTTTACAAAATACCTTTAAACATTATAACGTATATTTGGAGAGAGACACCTTTTAATAGCTTATAATTTTATAAAACACTTTCTATATTATGTGTCAATTTTGCACACATATATTGCATTTGAAAAAATATATATATATTTACAAATAAATGTGATTTAGTTTGGAACCATTTCACATTCTAATTCGAAAACCAAACCAAACACAATTTTGGAAATTTAAGAACCAAACAAAAATCACTTCACTAATTTGTAATTTTCTATCGGTTTTCAGCTTTTTGAATCTGTTTAAGGTTACTTCAATCTTGAACATCCTAGTATAAATTGCCCATCAGCATATCTTCCTCTGGTCACGTTATGGCAGGATACTTTAGACATGTCTTTCAACATAAACAACCTCAAACGCCTGCAGAATTGTTTATATTGGGTACCAAACCAGCCGAAGTTATCATATAATTTTTGGTGACTAGATTTATTAAACATGTTTAAAACTATCAAATATAATTAACAAGTAATGATTTGGTCATTAGCTTTATTAAAAAGATTTAAGATTTATACTGTCCAGCTAAATAAACTATCTGACCAAGTCAACCGCCTACACATTTCAAGCTTGACACTTACAGGAGCTGTGGACTGTCTGGACAAGATCTTGATCATGAATGGATGATTTACGTTCATAAGACAGACCATTTACTATGACCGACTACCTCATCACAAGCATTTGCTTCTTGCATCGTCATTTTGTTTCTTACACCCGTCATTTTTTGAGTCTCTAAACTACCTTCACTTAAACCTTTTCCAATTCGGAATGTTAAAATTATGTTCCGGAATAGGCTTTCTTTATTAGAAAATTTGATGGTTTCCATTCCAGTTTACCAACTCCTGGTTACCATTGAGAACTTCAACTAGCACACTAAATCTCTGTGTGTGTGTACATTTTTCCCCTCCTGTTTACCATTGAGATCTTTTCTGGTATTATAATCCTTCTATAGAGTGATTATGTTAAATGTCCTTTCTCTACAATGAAAATCTCACATTGATTAAAGCACACCAAATGTGTGTACATTTTTACCCCTCCTGTTTATCATCATCTTATCAAGCTAAAATTTATGCATACCTTGAATTGAACAAGCTTGGGACTCTAGGCATGAGTATGGTCAGCCTGTACCCACGAGGCATAAATTCCCTGATCTTTCACTCTGCATAAATGGCAATATAACACTTTACAAATAAACAACATATATCAATGAAAAGTTGAAAACAACCAATGAACAAAATCACATTCTATCATTGAAACATGTCATTAGAGAAACCAATGAGGTGTAGGAACAGGGATAGCAATTTATAATTCTTGAGACAAAGCAGAAAGATGAACTTGGTCATTGATATTAATTTCAAAGGTGAAGCAATAATTTTCAAATAAAAATAACATACCCCATCTATATATTTCAAGTAGGAAGACTTATTTAGTTATTTTAGTATAGTATCTGAAGACGATTTTTCTAATCTTGAAACACTGAAACTACAAAAAATGGGACAAACGTGAATCTTTTTATATGTAATGGAATTCATTGATTGTCTCAAGTAGAATTTCAAAAGATAAACAGAGAATCAGATAAAGAGTAAGGACAAGTGGTCAAGGAATGCTAAACAAGCATCAAATAATGAAGCCTTTTTACATAGGAACTTTAGCATATTATCTGAAGACAATTTTTCTAATCTTGAAACACTGAAACTACAAAAAATGGGACAAAATTATTTTTTATATCTGAAGGAATTCAATGATTGTCTCCAGTAGAATTTCAAAAGATAAACAGCGAATCAGAAAGATCAAATAAAACAGTAAGGACAAGTGGTCTAGGAATACTGCACAAGCATCACATGATCCAGCCTTTGTACATATAAATTTTAGCTCAAGGGGGAACAGATTTGACTGGAATATCAATAAGTCAAGAGTCAAAACTACAAATTAAGCATAGAAAGTTTACTTACAAACACATATCATCTCGATCAATTTCAGAGAACAAGTTGATATAAAAGCGAAACCCATCAGGGCTTACATCTCTGCATAGTAAACCTGGGAAAGATTCCATAAAAATCAGAAGTCGGTTATGTAGCTTAAAGTATTGAAGAAAGAGATCCAGCAGCATACCCTTGCTCTCAGCAGACAAGAGATGCTCCTTTGCCATTGTTGGGGCAACCCCTAGTGTCCTTGCAGCATCACTAGCACTTATCCCAGCTCGAAGAGTATCAGGTTTCATAACAAGCATCTTGATTTTAGCAAAAACCTACACCAAACATCAATTAATCACTGTAGTCTAATTTACCCGCCTTCCATTTCAACGTGAGAAGAACTTGATGTCAAAATGACAAAAAAAATTAAAATAAAATAAAGTTCTCATCTTATCAAACATAAAAAGTGCAATGATACATGTACAAGTGTACAACAATTTGTACATCATTTTTTTCTGTGTTTCTCCATCATTAATAAGTGTAATAATTGATGAGATGGAGAGAAATAGACAAAAAAAAATGATGCTATACAATTGTTGTAAAAGTATCACTTTCCATACAAAAAATGCAGTGCAGAAAATTGAAATCATCAATCTAAAATATAATCCCATATCTGCGTAGCAACCTGTTAAAGGTAAATTATATGCATACCTCACCAAAAGAAAATTATATGGCAGATGGGAGAATCAGACAATAGAAATCAATATAATGTGAAGCATAGTTTAGTCCATTACAGATATAAAAACCCTACTCTAAACTAAAATGGGAGATCCAAAGTTCAACTTTATTGGAGTATAGTTTTACTCCTTTATTGTTATTTTCAGTTATTATAGATATTTCGGTTATTATAGACCAATCTCAATTGGCTCTATATAAACCTGACTTGTACTCTGTTTTCTGTGGGTTAATGAATTACATTCCTTGCCTATTGTAAATCTACTTTCATCTCTATCTCTCGCTTCCTCTCTCTCTCTCTCACACACATATAATTCCTTTATGGTATCAAAGCTTCTTGATCCTCTTCTTCTCTCCTCCGTTTCCGCTCGTCCAAACTTCTTCCTATGGCTGAATCTACCTCTACAATGAACTCTTCTCTTCCAAGGCTAGTGTCTACCACCATCCTATTTCGGTTCCTCTTACTATTGGAGTATAGTTTTACTCCTTTATTGTTATTTTCAGTTATTATAGATATTTCGGTTATTATAGACCAATCTCAATTGGCTCTATATAAACCTGACTTGTACTCTGTTTTTTGTGGGTTAATGAATTACATTCCTTGCCTATTGTAAATCTACTCTCATCTCTATCTCTTGCTTCCTCTCTCTCTCTCTCTCTCACATATAATTCCTTTATGGTATCATAGAGCTTCTTGATCCTCTTCTTCTCTCCTCCGTTTCCGCTCGACCAACATCTTCCTATGGCTGAATCTACCTCCACAATGAATTCTTCCCCACCACCACCGCCTCCTCCACCAATTCATGCCAACCCAGTCAACACCGTCCCGCCCAAGAATCCTCCCCCTAACTCCCATCCGTCTCTCACCTTCTCTCACACCATCTCCGAAAAACTTGACACCAAGAATTATCTTCTTTGGTGTCAACAGGTTGAACCCGTCATCAAGGGTCACCGCCTTCACCATTATCTTGTCAACCCCCAAATTCCTCAAAAATTTGCAACCCTTGCTGACCGAGATGCTGGTCGCATCTCTGAATCCTATCTTGCCTGGGAACAGCAAGATCAATTACTACTTTCTTGGTTACAATCCTCCATGTCTAAAGACATGCTTACACGAGTTATCGGTTGCAAGTCCTCCTTCCAGCTTTGGGACAAAATTCACTCATACTTTCACTCCCATATGAATGCCAAAGCCCGCCAATTGCGCAATGAACTTCGCAATACAAGCCTTGAAAATCTGTCAATCTCTGAATATGTGCTTCGAATTCAAACCCTAGTTGATGCCCTCACAGCCATAGGCAACTCTGTTTCTCCGAAGGAACACCTTGATATAATTCTTGAAGGTCTTCCCGAAGAATACGAATCCACCGTGTCTCTCATCAGTAGCCATTTTGACCTTCTGACCATAGATGAAGTCGAGACCTTGCTCCTTGGCCATGAATCTCGTCTTGACAAATTCAAGAAGAAAGTCGCTGCCTCCATTAATGTCACCACCACCACCACTGAACCCAACCCGTCTGTCACGAACCCACAAGCACACCTTGCTCATCAAGAAAATCAATCTGGCTTTTCTCATCGTCAAGGGGGTCGTACCAATTTTCGTGGAGGCCGTTTCTCCAATCGGGCAGGACGTGGACGAGGCAGATTTGCTGGGTACCAATGTCAGGTCTGCCATAGGTATGGACATGTTGCCTCTGCCTGCTATTATCGTTTTGATGAAACCTATGTCCCATCCTCACCCCTTGAAGCACCTGCGTACCACTCTATCAACCAACATACAAACCCAGGCGCGTGGTACAGCAATCAAACTGCTTCGCCTTCTTCTCATCGGAATGAAATTCTTGGACCTAGACCTCAATTTACTCCTCAAGTCCAATTCACCTCCACCCAGGCGCAACCTCAAGCCATGATTGCATCGTCCTCCTCTTCAAGCATCAACAATTGGTATCCGGATTCTAGGGCATCAAATCATGTTACCAATGTCTCTCAAAATATTCACCAATTCACTCCTTTTGAAGGACCCGATCAAATCCATGTTGGCAATGGACAAGGGCTTCACATTAACTCCACAGGTGTTACCACCTTTCATTCTCCAATCAACCCTAAGTTTCAATTTGCTCTAAACAATCTTCTATTTGTGCCCTCCATCACAAAAAATCTAATCAGTGTTAGTCAATTCTCCAAGGATAATTCTGTATATTTTGAATTTCACCCCTACATTTGCTTGGTCAAATCACAGGACACTAAAGAAGTTCTTCTCCAAGGCTTGGTTGGTCCTGATGGCCTATACCAGTTTCCTACACTTCTTCCAACTCCCAGTCCGCAATCTGTCCAGCAGGTGCAACCGGCCAGAACCTTCTCTGTCAATACTGCAACAAAAAGTTCTATTTCCTTTGCCACTTGGCACTCTAGATTAGGACATCCTAATGTTGATGTAATGAAACATGTTTCCCGGAACTTCAACATTCAACTTGTGACCAATAATAAATCAAATTTCTGCACTCCTTGTTGTCTTGGTAAATCCCACAGATTACCTTCCAATCTGTCTAAAACTATTTACAATACACCCTTTGATTTAGTATACAACGATTTGTGGGGACCTGCTCCGGTTACGTCAACCTGTGGATATCAATACTATGTCACCTTTGTTGATGCTCACACACGCTTTACGTGGATCTATCTTCTCAAAAATAAAGCTCAAACCTTTAATGTTTTCAAACAGTTTCACGCTATGGTTAACAATCAATATCACCACCCAATCAAAGCATTGCAAACTGATTGGGGTGGTGAGTATCGTTCCTTCACTAATTATTTGAATGAAGTTGGAATTCAACACCGTCTAATCTGTCCACACACTCACCATCAGAATGGAGTTGTTGAAAGAAAACACAGGCACATTGTTGAACTTGGTCTCAC